TTCGATTTCCCTATTTTAATTTTTTAATGTGTTTCAATTTTTCCAATTTTGGAATTTTCGATTTCTCATATCTCAATTTTCCAATTTTAAAAATTTTTCGATTTCTCGATTTTTAAGTTTTCGCTATCTCAATTTTAAACATCGCAATTTTGGCAATTTTTCAATTTCTATATTTTTCAGATTTTCGATATTTTCATTTTCCCGATTTTGTAATTTTCATTTTCTTGATTTTATATCACAATTTTTCATTTTTCCATTATCTTTATTTTTTCAATGTTTCTTTGGGTTTTATAATTTTTTGTTTATTCAATTTTTTACATTTTCAATCTTTGATTTTTTAAGTTCTTGATTTCCAATTTTTTTATATTGCGAAGCTTTCATTTTGTACTTTTTCAGTTTTACAATTTTTCTATTTTATAATTTGTCGATTTTGTTTATTCGAAAAGTTAAAAACCCGAAAAAATGAAAAATTGAAACAATGAAAAACTAAAAACCGAGAAACTTAAAAATCTAAAGTAAAATTAATGAATCGAAGAATGGGAAAGAAGAAAAACCATTCGAATTGAAAAATTGGAAAATCCAAAAATTGTAAAATCGAAAAATTATAGAATCTTGAAAATTGTAAAGTCCAAAAACTGTGACATTCAAACACCGAAAAATTGAAAAATTCCAAAAACGAAAAACTGAAAAAGTGAACAACTTTAAAAATTATAATCATTAGGAGTGTTACATAATTAAAATGAAAACTAGAAAAACTGCAAATGAAAAATTAAAAAAACGGAAAATTGAAAGCAGAAAATTGAAAAAATAAAGAAAATTAAAAACCCACAGGAAAAATTGCAAATCGAAAAATTGACGAAATTGAAAACTGTAAACTCGTGAAATTTGCAAACTCTAAAATTTGAAACATCTAAAAGTTGGAAAATCAAAAACTGAAAAATGGAGAAATCGAAAATTATCAAAAATCGAGAGATTGAAAAATCGAAATTTTGGAAAATCGAAAAACCGAGGAATTCAAACTGAAAAAAGATCGAGAATTCAAGATGTCGAAAAATCTAAATATCTAAAATTTAAAAAATAGAAAAATTACAATAACGAAAAATTTAACATTTAAAAAAAAACACAAAATCAAAAAGTCGAAAAATCGAGAAATTGAGAAATGGAAAAATGAAAATTTAGCAAACACCAAAAATTGAAAAGCATAAAAAAATTAAAATCGGAAATCGGAACGTAAAAAAAATAAAATCGAAAAATTGAAAAATGTTAAATTTAAAAATTCGAAAACTTGAAAAACTGAAGAAATGAAAAACCAAAAAATCGGCAAATTGAAAAATCTCAAAACTGAAAAGTCGAAAAATTGAAAAACCCAAAAATCGATTTCCGGTAAGTCGAAAAATCAAAATTTAAAAAGTTGAAAAATGAAAATATCAAAAAACTGAAAAATATAGACATTGTCAAAATTGAAATGTTGAAAAATTAAGAAATCGAAAACGTGAAAAATCCAGAATCGAAAAAAAGAACGAAAAGTAAAAACATTTTAAAATCGAAAAAACGAAAAATCGAATTTTAAAAATCTAAAAACTTGAAGAAATAAAAAATTGAAAAATGGAAAAGCCGAGAAATCGAAATTAAAAAATTGAGACATCAAAATATCCCAGAAATGGAGAAATCGAAATAGCCCGAAATCGAAAAACCGGAAAATTTAAAACTGAAATACATATTTAAACTTAAAAAAAAACGATAAATCAAAATATTCAAGATTCGAAAAATCAGAAATTTTAAAAATCGAAAGATCGAGAAATCGATATACCAAAAAAGTGAAAAATTTTAAATTAAAAAATTGGAGATATTGAAAAATCCCAAAATTGGAACAACGAAAACTTGAGAAATCGAAAAACTGAAAAATCGATAATTTGGAAAGAGGAAAAATCGAAAAATCAAAGAATTGATTAATAGAGAAATTGAGAAATGTAAAAATTAATTTTTTTTTTAAATTGCAAAATTGTAAAACTGAAATATCGAAAAATTAAATAAACTAAATATCGAAAAATCAAGAAATCGAAAAATTGTAATTCAATTTTGTTTTATTTTTCCACAAAAATTTCGATGTCGAAGATAAAAATTCAACACGGATTCATAGACCATAAGTACACTGTTACTTTTTTTAAATTTATATAACATTTATTTGACAAAATTGTAGAACTGAAGAAACGAAAATTAGAAACATTGAAAAACTAGAAATCGAGAAAAAATTAATGAATCAAAGAACGAATTAAATCGAAAAATGTTCGTAAAGTCTAAAAACTAACATTCAAACATCGAAAAATTAAAAAATTCCAAAAACGAAAAATTGACAAAGTGAACAACTCTAATAAAAATTATAATTATTATTACATATCTAAAATGAAAATTAGAAAACCTGCAAATCAAAAATTGAAGAAACGAAAAATTGAAAACAAAAAAAATTGAAAAATCCAAAAACTGAAAAATTTCAAATTGAGAAAAAGAAAAAACATAAAAACTCGTTCCTCGCGCGTTAAAATATCTCGATTATTAATCACCTTTATTAACAAATTTGTTCGTTAAATAGCTATTAATTTACCTGATCTCATTTTCAATTCCAATGAAAACCCCTTCTTTAAAAATTGCACATTTTAAAAAAATATATCGGTTACGTTGCGGTCTGTGCCCCTTTTGACGCTGCGCCCCCCCGTATTGGGGGATCTGCGGGGGTGCTATTTACGCCACTGGGAAACTGCAAACGTATTCCTTCAGCCACTCTGTTTAAACCGTGGGCAATGCAAATTGAGTGAATTAAATTGGGGTACAATATTTTTAGATTATTCCCTGCTTTCAACATATAACGAGCTGCATCCGAGATCATCAGTAAAATTTTATTGGCAAAAATAGTGACGTAAGACTGTCATTTACAAATCTGGTAATCGTATTGCCATTTGTTTTATCTAACATTTTCAAACTTACTACATACCCTCGACTAGGGAAATTTTCATTTAAGATTCCAACAATTAAACTTGCCACGTATCTTCCACAACTATCGGTTGTTTCATCGACAGCGAACCATAAATAATTATCTCCAATGCGATGTTTAATTTCGTTGTAAACTTGCAGAAAAACTGGGCCTACATATTTTTTTCGGAGAGTACTTTCAACCGAAATAGGTCGATTGCAGTGTTTTTCAAGGAATTCTTGAAGAGGGCCTTTCTCCAATTTTTTTAAAGGTATATTGGACTGGATCATCATTTTACATAAATCGAAATTAAACTGAAACTGCTCATCTTTTGTGGAAGTAGATGCAACAGATTCATGTAAGGTCTACTGTTTAATTTTAGAAACTTCAAACATTTTCTTCCTTTCTACATGAAGAGTCGTTCTGACATGTTGGGTCACGTTATATTTTTTATCACTTTGAATCTAAAACAATGTACATATACAGGATTAACAAAGGAAAATAGATAAAAAAAAATAGTGGGCTTACGGTTTTCACACAAGCTCTGCAGAATATTTTGTTGTTGTCTAATTTTAATTCTGGAAAATCCCTTATCCACTCATCCGGCGTCGATTTTACTTTCGGCATTCTTTTAAAATATTAGTAATATTACCAAAAAGAACTCAACATTTAACAAGGGAGAACCACGTATAACACTGTACTACGACAGATGCGATAGACTGATGGTTGTGAAATAAACGGTTCATTTACTTAAAAGTTTCCATTAGAAAAATTTTAAGGTAGGTAGTTGGGTACAATAATCCTTTTTTCTAGAAAATCTTCAACGGTCTTGCCGCAAAATGCCGAAAAAGAACATCTGGTTAAAAACTTTAATTCATTATCAACGGAAGTAAGGATTTAAAGTCATAAAATCTATTAAGTATTTTTCCAATCTTATAATAAAATTTTATTACCCAAACGACCAGAACCTATTCACAGAAAGGGTCTTGAGTAAGTGTACTTCAATGGTCAAGTCCAGGTAAAATGCATACGATACGATACGGCTAACTAACAAGTATTTGTCATTCCGACAAGGCCGGCATTTGAACAAAATATGCATTAAAACTCATATTCGTCGAAAAAAGCATCAAATAAGCATATAAGTTTTAATATGCATAAAATTGAAAAAAAAGCAAATAAGCATAAAAACATGTGTCAAATGACTCCAAATTGTATCATAGTTACAGATATAAAAAAGTTTTGAAGTGCTTACATTTTTCACAAAAAGCATTAGACCTAGAAATCCGCTCTCTAGATATTACATTAATTCAGTTTCTAGTTGTTTCAGCTAGTCTAGAATTCCGTAAGAGCCACTCGCCGGATTAGTGCACACTCCACCCGCCCGAGTGCCATTACCATGCATGACCGGCCCTCACAGCACCATTAGTCAGCCCAAAAATCCTTCCGTCATCCCCGTAATGAGACAGATGCCCTGTCAAGTGTCCGGCGCAGCGGACACGAATATTCAAATTTCGTATCGTGTCACGCTTCAAGCTCCTGCTGTATTAATAACGCCCCTAACTATTTCGGGCACGACTAAAATTATTTAACTAAAACAACAAAGGTCAGCGAAAGCTACAGCCGCGGTTATCGCCTTTAGCTGTGTGCATAATTCACCGAGCTTCCTGCCGCTCGAAATAACAAATCGTCCGTCAAACTCGCGCTGGAGCATCGTAAATTATCCAACTATAACGCGTAATAAACATAATCGTAAAAAAATCTCGGTTATTTATTGCGGTGGCCGGACCGGGATCAAGTACGTCGGATTGGGGGGCGGGGGCGGGCCGCGAACTTTCCGCACAAGGTCTTCGAAAATTTTACGTAAATAAGTTGGATTTATGGGGTTTGGAGACATTTTAGTGAATCTTGAGGCAGCGTTTTTAACTTAGTGCAACAGGTGGCTTTTTTTTAATTTATAAATAAATAATTTCATTTTTGTGTTGCGTTATTGTGTTGGAACGTATAGGAATAATACGCGACTTTAACATTTTACCTGCGAAATTGGGACTCTGCATCGGCGTTTAAAACGTTCTTCTACCCTTGAGTCGATTTCGCTCCCAAATCTCGACACCTGTTGAAGGAAACGCAGTTAAAATGCTATATGCACTTGCTTTGTGACAGTGGTGTGTAAGGAGGTTACAATCAACGTTTGTACTAAAGTTGTCAACCAAGCAGGAGAAATGAGAGTAGAGATGAATCATGGATTTCAGCAGTGTTCATATCTCATCCGGCGAAAACAATTATTTATGAATTAAGGCTTGAAGCCGTTATTTTTGGTCTGAGGGGTAAAATTGAAATGCGAGTGCCAACAATGCTAACCACGCGAGGTAGGTAAAATTTTTGCACGAATAAAGCTTGAATTTCAGTTTTAATTTAGAAATTCTTCATTGTTAAATCCACACGGTCAAGTTGATTGTTTTAATTTTAACGTAGTGTGAAGGGTCGACATTTTAATTCAGAACGAAAATTTTGCTAAAACTGGTGAAATGGTGAAGACACTTCAGCTGGAGCACTTTGAAGGAAAGATCTAATAACGTCAACACTGGTTTATTGATAGAAAAGTCGTGGAAAATTAGTGAAAAACCGTTCGCTTTCAGCTTGTTTTTCTGAAAAGTACCAGATCTGGGAAGGAAAGTCGCTAAATTTTAATGACGCTCCTATCGGCATTCTGTCGAAGTGATACCCATTTTTTTCAATAACTGGTAGCTTTTGTTAAAAACTCTGTTAAGCAATATATCATTAATTTTCCTCTGATACTCGTGTTAAAATTATTATTCGACGTATTTTGCATTAATTTGTCGTATATTTTGATTTTAATAAATACATTATTATTTAAACCAATTGTGCCACCAACAAACATTTAATGAGTCTGCGGTCTGTAAAAACTGATGCTTTGTCAATGTGAGAATTTTCAAGCGATTCTAGGATGATTATGACTCAAAAAAAAAATGAAAAGAAAAGATGCTTTTTTACTATATTTCTCAGCCATATTTTTTTAGATGATTGAATTAGTCTCTGCGGTTTAGAATATGAAAAAAGCTGCAGTTTGATGTTTGACACGCCTATATTAATATCATTTTTTCATACAAAAAATCCAAAAAAATGTTATACCTCGTCTAGGGAGTCCCCTTAATGTGAGAAAATATAGACGATTAACCGATTTTCTAAAACGAAAATCGGACGGTTACAGATCGACGAAATCAAAACTTTTAACTAGAAAAGAATGCAATGTTTTCTGGAAGTTATTTTCTGATATTTTTACACATACACTTTCGAAATTTTGAAACCTCTTGTTTTTGGAGCTTCCGTTTACAAGAAAGTTACTAACGAAATTTCAAAAGGGTTCTCGCGATTCTTTTAATTTCTTCAAAAAAACAACACAGAAATAGTCCCAGAAATTCCTTAAACTTCTGGTAAAAACAACACACAAAGAGCTCTTGAGCTTCTCTTAGTTTCTTGCAAAAACAATGCAGAAAGCGCCCAGGAGATTCTTTTAAATTTTGCCAAAACAACACCTGACATTATTTCAAATTTTTCCAAAAACAACACATAAAGAGCCCTCAAGATTCCTTTAACTTCTTGCAAAAACAACACGCAAGGAGTGCCCGAGATTCTTTAAATTTCTGTCAAAAACAACACAGAAAGAGCCCTGGAGATTCTTTTAATTTCATGTAAAACCAATGCCGAAAGGACCTCGGGGATTCTTTTAACTTCTTGCAAAAACAACGCAGAGACGATTTCCTTCTTTCAAAAATAACATAGAAGGGGCCTTCGAGATTCTTTCAGTTGCTTCCAAAAAAAAAAAAAAAACAAGAAAGGGGCGCCCGAGATTTTTTAAATTTTGGCCAAAAACAACACGAAAAGAACCCCCTAGACTTTTTTCATTTCTTTCTAAAACAATGGAGAAAGGGTCCCCAGGATCCTTTCAACTTTTTTCAGATTCTTTTGATTTCTTGCAAAAACAATGCAGAAAGTGCCCCGGGAATTCTTTTAACTTCTTGCAAAAATAACACAGAAAGGATCTCCGAAATTTTTTTAATTCCTTCCAAAAACAAAACTAAAAAGAATCTTGACATTCTTTTCACTTCTTCCAAAAATAACATAGAAGAAGTTCCCGAGATGCTTTCAATTTTTTCTAAAAAGAATACAAAAAGTCCCCTGAAGCTCTTTTAACTTTTTACAAAAAACTAGATTTTTTTTATTCTTCTGCCAAAACACTCAAAAACCGCCCCTGAGATCCTTTTAACTTTCTAAAACAATACGGAAAGGGCCCCCAAAACCCTTTCACTTTTTTTAAAAACAACATAAAAAGGGCCCTCTAGTTTCTTTTGATTTCCCCGGGAATTCTTTTAACTTCTTACAAAAACAACACAGACAGGATCTTTTATTATTTTTCAGAAACAAAGCTAAAAGGGCCCCTCATATTCTTTTAACTTCTTTCAAAAATAACATAGACTGGGCCTTCGAAATTCTTTCAATTTTTTCCAAAAATAACACAAAAACAGCCCTCGAGATTCTTTTAACTTCTTCCAAAAAACTAGAATCATTAACTCTTTTGCCAAAACAATACAAAAAGGGCTCACGAGATTTTTTTAATTTCTTACAAAAGCAAACCAAAAAGGGCTCTTGACATTCTTTTAATATCTTCCAAAAATAACATAGAAGGAGCCCACCAGATTCTTTTAATTTTTTCCAAATAACCAGAAATGGTAAGCCAAGATTTTTTAAATTTTGGCCAAAAACAAAACAAACTGAACCCCCTAGATTCTTTTAAGTTGTTTCTATAACAATACAGAAAGAGCCCCCGAATTCTTTTAACTTCTTCCAAAAACAAAGCAAAAGGGGGTTTTGACATTCTTTTAACTTCTTCCAAAAATCTAGATTCATTTATTTTCTTTTGCAAAAACAAAGCTAAAAAGGCCCTCGACATTTTTTAAACTTCTTCCAAAAATGACACAGTAAGAGCCCTCGAGATTATTTTAATTTCTTGCAACGCAAAAAAGGGCGTTTGATGTTCTTTTAAGTTCTTCCAAAAATAAAATAGAAAGGGCCCTCGAAATTCTTTCAACTTTTTTCAAAAACAATACAAAAGAGCCCTCAGGATTCTTTTAACTTCTTCCAAAAACCTTGATTCTTTTATTCTTTTGCCAAAACAATACAAAAAGGGCCTCCGAGATTTTTAAATTTCTTGTGAAAAAAAATCGAAAAGGGCTCTTGACATTCCTTTAACATAGAAGGAGCGCACAAGATTCTTTTTTTTAACTTATTCCAAAAACAAGAAAGGGGCGCCCGAGATAATTTAAATTTGCGTCAAAAACAACACAAAAAAACCCTCGAAGTTATTTTAAGTTCTTTCTAAAACAACACAAAGTGGGCTTCCGAGATTTTTTTAATTTCTTGCAAATACAATGCACTAAGGGCCCCCAAGATTCTTTTAAGTCTTGCAAAAATAAAGCAAAAAGGGCCCCTGAGATTGTGTTAATTTTTTCTAAAAACAACACAAAAGACCCTAAAGATTCTTATAACTTCTTCCAAAAACTTAGATTCTTTTATTCTTTTGCCAAAACAAGACAAATAACACAGAAAGGGCCCCCGAGATTCTTTTACTTTCTTGCAAAAACCAAGCAAAAAGGGCTCTTGACATTCATATAACATCTACCAAAGATAGCCTAGAAGAAACCCTTGAGATTCTTTTAACTTCTTCCAAAGAAACAGGAAAGTGCCATAAACAACGCAAAAAGAACCCCAGCCATTCTTTTAATTTTTTTCAAAAACAACACAAAAGGGGCCACGAGATTCTTTTAATTTCTTGATAAAACAAAGCAAAAAGGTCCCCTCACTTGCTTTTAACCTCTTCCAAAAATAACACAAAAAGCCCCCGAAATCCGTTTAATTTCTTACAAAAACAACACAGAAAGGCTCCTAACAATTTTTCTATTTTCCCAAAAACAACACGACAATAACCTTCATGATCCTTTGATCTTCTTACAAAAACAACACGCAAGGATCGCTCGAAATTCTTTCAATTTCTGCCCAAAACAACACAAATTGAACCCCAAGATTCTTTTAAGTTGTTTCTATAACAATACAGAAAGGGCCCCCGGATTCTTTTAACTTCTTCCAAAAACAAAGCAAAAAGAGGTCTTGACATTCTTTTAACTTCTTCCGAAAATAATATAGAAGAGGCCCTCGAGATTCTTTAAACTTTTTCCAAAAAGGACACAAAAAACCCCTCAAGGCTCTGTTAACTTCTTTCAAAAACCTAGATTATTTTATTCTTTTGCCAAAACAATACAAAAAGGGCCTCCGAGATTTTTAAATTTCTTGTAAAAAAAATCAAAAAGGGCTCTTGTCATTCCTTTAACATTTTCCGAAATTAACATAGTAGGAACGCACAAGATTCTTTTTTTTTAACTTTTTCCAAAAAACAAGGAAGGGGGCGCCCGAGATAATTTAAATTCGGGCCAAAAACAACGCAAGAAGAACTCTCGAGATTATTTTAAGTTCTTTCTAAAACAACACAAAGTGGGCTTCCGGGATTTTTTTAATTTCTTGCAAATACAATGCACGAAGGGCCCCCAAGATTCTTTTAAGTCTTGCAAAAACAAAGCAAAAAGGGCCCCTGACATTCTTTTAATTTTTTCTAAAAACAACACAAAAGACCCTAAAGATTCTTATAACTTCTTCCAAAAACTTGGATTCTTTTATTCTTTTGCCAAAACAAGACAAAAAGGGTCCCGAAATTCTTTTAGCTTTTTCTGAAAATAACACAGAAAAGGCCCCCGAGATTCTTTTACTTTCTTGCAAAAACCAAGCAAAAAGGGCTCCTTACATTCATATAACATCTACCAAAAATAACTTTGAAGGAACCCTCGAGATTCTTTTAACTTCTTATAAAGAAACAGGAAAGGGGCATCCGAAATTTTTGAAATTTGTGCTATAAACAACGCAAAAAGAATCACAGCCATTCTTTTAACTTTTTTCAAAAACAACACAAAAAGGGCCACGAGGTTCTTTTAATTTCTTGAAAAAACAAAGCAAAAAGCGCCCCTCACTTGCTTTTAACCTCTT